GCTATCGACGATGAACGAAAAGACCAACGATCGAGAGTGCATTGACAGCTTAATTTATTGATCTAATACACTAATGGACAAAGCCTATAAGGTACTAAACATACCAAACTTTGAAATTGATTGACCGATCAACAACTGACCATCCTAGATTATAGATATCAACTTATACAAGAAGCTGACAAATCCCTCAACAAACGATACTCAACTTGAGCGACCCAAACACCTATTGACCTATTCCTCAACATTCTGAAAGAAACCACTGGCTACAACGAGCTCCTTGTCCAACATCTTCCTACGCACGAAGATGAATCTTGCATTCCGAAACACATACATCTGATGGCAACTTGCTCTGCACCCCTGTCTTGACCATATCCTGAACCAAAGTTTCGCATACCCGAAATGTAAATCCAAATCCCTATGATCCATTCTTATGAACCCATAACTCTAACATATCAATGATCCTCTAAGCATAGTATCCAGCTCTCCCCCACTTAGGGTTTGAACTACCACTAACTGACATTGCAAACAGACCAAAACTCAAACCGACACATCACATACCCTATAAACACCGCTCTTGGCATGCAAAATGACATATGAAAATCCATTGAATAATATTAATAACCAAGCAACTTTAACGAAACTCTAATCTTAGGTGGAGACTTAAGTAAACCGATCATAATATCACACACACACGCAATCATATGATCATAAACATAAACCATAAGGGTATGAAGGGTTCGAATACGATACATACCTACGAGGTCTTGAGGTCCTGACTTCGCTTCCTGGAAAACCGCGAATGATGGAGTCTGAGCTACTCCGATCATCAAACGTGGGCAATTTGCCCTATTGTGACCGGGCTGATGACAACGATGGCATAATTCTACCTCCAGGGTGCAATCTTGGTGAACATGACCCTTCCGTCCGCACCTGTCGCATTTGAACTTACAACACACATGCTCAAGGTTTCTTCCTTCCTTAATGTGCATGACGTGGTCCCTCTGGACTCCAGTACTCAGGTCAGCAACATCTAACTCATCACCCATCACTGAAATTGTCGGATCATGTGCCCGCTTCCTTTTTCCCTGACGCGCTCCCACATCAAGATCTCTCTCTCTCTAGTCGTCTCAACAGTCTCTTCCATAACCCGAAGGCTGCAGCTTGCTCCCTGAATTTGACAATCAGTATGTCAATGATTTGACCAACCATACCATACAATTCTTCCAATAAAATTTGTGAAACCTCAGTGGTAATCCAATCGCGTAACCCTATGTAATCTGCATCAGTCTTGAAGGGCACTGCTCCCCGCCCGGACACCGACATCCTAATAAACAAAACCAAAATGTCATCACTAATTCATCACACTTTACCCACACTATGGAATTTTGCACATAAATCCTCTACTGGCTAATTAGAATCCTCGTGACTTTCCTCAATTCGAGTATGAATCATGTGCTTCCAGTAGTACGGGCCTAATACTACATTCCACACCTATCCATAATTTCCTTAACAATCGTATTGAATCTTCAAAGTCACCTCCTCATAATGGTACTCCCACAACCCGCTAAACAGTGTCGCAACCGCACTAAAGCACTTCCGAGGCTCTTTTAGGATCCCTACCTCACCCTGTTATCATCTATTGAAAAACCCCTATTAATGTCAGCTAATCACTTGATGAATACAGTTATATGCAACAAAACTTAAATAATATTTCGAATAAAAGACCCAATCCTACAACGGTTAGACTCAAACGAGAGCCACACAATAGGGCTAAATCAATAATTCTAAAATTATTTAACTCTTGTAGCATGTAACTTAATATATTCATTTAATAGTTAACTCACATCAATATGAGTCCCACAAAGCACAAATCAAGCAACATATGAGCAGTGGAACCGTCTGATACTAAGACACCAAGAAAATTAGGCAGATCTTTACACGCAAATTTCGGACCACTAGGCCTAAGCATCAAGGATACATATAAATCTTCTATCTACTCTCAAGAGTGGCTAATCATTCCTCACGTTGGGCTGCTATAAACTGTACTCACTCATGGAACTTCCACCAACCCTACAGCCACTCGTGCATGCTAATCATACATAACCATGGATTTCATAGACAGTCAAATACTTGATTCTACCCTAAGCCCACAACCAGACTAGGAACAGAAAATAAATCTAAATCAAACATTCTCAGGCTATAAAATCTTAGTTATGTACAACTATGATGCATACACTAAGCAACTACAATAATGATGTTAATTCCATCTATCATATAAGAAATTCTCCTAGGCTATCTGGCATCATACATTAGACAATTCTATCATGCAATTCCTGAAGATCCTTAACCTATAAACTAACATGCAATTCTATCAAAATCATCATCATAAACAAATAACAGTGTGGTATCTTGGGGTATACTTTCTTGCTCCGGCTGATCGTACACATCTCATCCTTCTCAATCATCCTTGAAAACAATTTGGAAAACAATCTTAAAAACAATTTTGGAAATTATTTTGAATTGTTTTTTCTTTTGCATATCTATAGTTTGAGTCTGAATTCACACGAATGCTTATCTAATTCGCTCAAACCAGGGCTCTGATACCAACTTGTAACATCCCAAAAATCAAGGTAAAATTTATATTTTTCAAAAACAACCAAAAACCATAAATGTTTACAAACATAGTTTACAAAGTCTCAAAGTCACAAATCATAGTGTCCCAAAATCAAATCTCATAAAAACTGAAGGATGTGTCCGAGCAAGCCTTCACCTTGCCCTGCTCATATGAAGTACCTGAAACATAAAACTTAAACTATAAGCCAAAGCTTAGTGAGTTCCCTCAAAGTACCATACACAACCAAATAGATAACAACATTCATGTATGGGCATTCAACCTGACTAGACCGCCTCGCAGGGCCTACAACCTATCTGGACCGCTTTCCGGGGCTTCAGCTTGACTGGACCGCATCTTGGGCCTTCAGTTTATCCAGACCGCCCCAGGTATCTTGGCCTTCAGCACAAAGCAGAACCGCCTCAACCCAACAAACCATAACATGTCGACATATACATTATACAATAACAATAAATAACCAACAACACATGTAATCATACAGATCTACCAATCCAACACATACTCAACATAACATCAATCCAATATACCAGGATACAAAATCCAATGGCTCGACCTTGGTGCCTTTGACCCACAAGTACAGTGAGGAAAAATCACCTCACAGTCTGAAATGATAGTAGAAAAGAACGCTACTCCAAAATGCCAACTCTACAGATCATCTATACAACAAACAATGACCGAGTCTCAAACTACTTTTCAAAATACCCAAAACACCCTTATGCCAAATTGGTTAAAATCCTGATCAAGGTCAAAGGTCAAAAAAGTGAAAGATTCCTTTTTGGGTTGCGTACACCCTACGTACTCCCTCTACGCCCAATGTAAAGGGTGCCCTTCGAAAACGCGAGATCGATCCCTGGTATGCGCAACGTACCAGAGCTGAATCCAAACTTCTCCATTAAGCTCTTATTTCATTAAGCCAAGGCACCAAACTTCAGATCCAATTATCAAGGGACGTCTTAATGGATAAAGTCTCTGACTTTATCCATTTGCATGCATACAAGAGGGTAAAAACTCAAACCCTTGGTCTAAAAGTCACCCAAAACTCCCAAACTCTTGCATGGCTTAATGAGAGTGTCCAAGCTCTCATTTTTATGAATCTAGAAGCTAAAATCTACAGAAAGCTACATTTCAAGGACCTGGAGTAGCTCATACTCCATTATACTAAGCCATGGGACCAAAAATGCATACAACTTCTAAGCAACAAGATCTAAGCAAATATCACATTAAGATCCAAGCTTTATACCTCCAAATGAAGCTTGAAGGCAAGATACTTCTGGATCCAAGATGCATTGAGCTTCCAAGTTGATTCCACTTCTTTCTTCATCCTTCAATATCACCAAAAGCACACTTTCAAGCTCAAAAAGGCTCACACAAGGATTTGGGTTTGCTAGGGACGAAATGAGAGATGGAGAATGATGAGGGAAGAGGTATTGAAGAGTTAATGATGCTTAAATATGGTTAAAAATGGAAATTTCCTGGACAAAGGGTGTTATAGATATCCTTCCTCACATAAATTGACCGCGCTACGCATTAGGGCACATTGAATACCCCAAGTGCATTCCTCATCCGAATCGACGTTTGAATATTTCTGCGTACACTGCATCAACTGCAAAGTAGTCATTCACAAGTTGGGTGTGCCCGATTTCATGATTTCTCTGTAAATGAGGATTTCTAATTTTTGGGCGCGAACATTTGCCTTTATTTTCTTGTAAATAAGCAAGTGTTGTTCGCATGATGTCCCCGATAAACCCTACTTCACGCAACACCAACATATCCGATGAAGTGGACGACGATGAAGATATTTTGGAATTAATCAAAAGTATATAGAAGAGTGGTGTTTTTTATGGTTTAAAATGTAGAATGTGTGTGTTTATTTATAATAGGTAAAAAAAACTTTTTTTTTGATATATGACCGTTAAAAAACGATAAAGAAGGGGAATGATAGAATTCTCGTTCAGTCGAGCTATGACGTGTGACAGCCTTATCACGCCTACCCACCCCAAACGGTGTTGTGTTCACCACATTACCACGGTGACACGTCGCCACCGTATGGTCTTATAAAAAGTTTAATTTTTTATTTTTCTTTTCGTAAGTTTTTTTTTTTTTTTTTTTCTAATTTTTTTTATGGAATAAATTACTTTTTTCGTGAAAAATAAGTCATATAATCCAACAGCTGTGATTACTCCACGACAGCAAGATGAAACTCCGTCGCGAAAAGCATTCATGACCCGTCTAATGCATCACGCCATTTTGACAATCATCTGTACGGACAAAATCATGGCATTTTCGTAAGTAAGACCAAACCCACGCCCTATTACATAACAAGCCACGGATGCCTTTGCTTTTTCCCCTCTATATAAACCCCCCCACACTTACTTTCAAACCGCTAGCCCAGGAGAGAGAAAGAGAGAAAGAGGGAAAAAGAGAAGGGGCGTGTAAGAGAGCGACTGAAGAGAGGGTTTAGTTAAATTCTTCACGTAAATTCCTCGAATCTTCGTGAAAAATTTGTGCATTTCGTATTGGTCTTGATTGATTTTGAAGTTTTCAAATACAATTATTGTAATTTGATGTACTTTATTTAAATGAGTCGTTTAGGGTTTAATAAATCGGTGGTTTACCGTGGGGAAGCTTGTTTGGGTGAATTGGATGTGATTCATACCGGTGATAAGAATTTCCAATTCCCAAACAACGAGATTAGGATTCATCATTTCTCTCAGGTCAGCGAACGATGTCCACCTCTTTCAGTTTTGTTAACAATTTCTTCTTTCTCAGTTCGTTGCAAGCTTGAATCATCATCCCCTGTTCGACAACCCCTGCTCATCGATCTTCACGCTACTTGCTTCTACGAACTAAAGGTTGTAATCAATTCTCAATCATTTATGTACGTTTGATGTTCCTGTGTTGTTTAGTTCCTGATTTAGTAAATTTTTGTCTGTTTTTGGTTTATTACAGACAGCTGTGGTGGTGATTGGAGATGAAGAGGTTCATTTGGTGGCAATGCCAAGCAAGCTAAAGAAATTTCCTTGTTTCTGGTGTTGTTTGGTTCCAGCTCAATTGTATAATGCCTGCTTAGGGATGTTGAACATGCGGTGTCTTGCCATTGTGTTTGATCTTGATGAGACACTTATTGTTGCAAATACGATGAAGTCTTTTGAGGATAGGATTGAGGTTTTGACTGGTTGGATTGGGCAGGAGTCTGATTCCATTCGGGTTTCTGGGATGACATCTGAGCTTAAAAGATTTGTGGAAGATCGAGCATTATTGAAGCAATACATTGAAAATAATTCTGTTACTGATAATGGCCAGACATATAATGTGAAACTGGAGGAAGTTCATATGAATGCTGCTGGAAATGAGCGTGTTGTTCGACCAGTTATAAGATTGCCCGAAAAGAATATAGTCTTAACCCGTATTAATCCAGAGGTTAGAAGATTAATTGCTTCTATATATTCTCCATCTTATTTCCTGTTTAGCAGACTTACTTTTATTTCTGCAATGTGAAAGTTGGAGAAACTGGAACGAATGATTCAGTTAATACATATGAATGATTTGTTTGCCTGTTTATTCCTGTGGACATATATCATTAGCAATGTCATTATTTCGTCCTTTACTTTTGGTCTTATTTATTGTTAACTTTCTTGGGTGGGCAACTGATGCATTACACTAGGCTGATGCTGGTCTTACTGATTACAAAGATTGAAATTGGATGTTTATAAAACATGTGACTAATTGTATATTTCATTTTTTTCGTCTTCTTGTGGGCTTCAACTCTACTGGTGCCTTATATATGTATGTATATATGCACGATTATTCATAACCTTTTGTGAAACAAAATTGTAATTTGTTTGCATGAACAGATACGTGACACAAGCGTGCTTGTGAGGTTAAGACCTGCATGGGAGGATTTAAGAAGCTATTTAATTGCAAAAGGGCGCAAAAGATTTGAAGTTTATGTATGCACAATGGCTGAAAGAGATTATGCACTGGAAATGTGGAGGTTGCTAGATCCAGAAGCCCACTTAATTGGCCCAAAACAACTATTAACCCGTGTTGTATGTGTCAAATCAGGCAAGCATCTTTCTTTTCACCATAACAAACATAAATCAACAATCTTTCTCCTTCATAATCACTAATAATCAACATTCACATCACATTTTTATCATTGTATAGGTGCACGTAAGTCTTTACTTAATGTCTTCCAAGATCGCACCTGTCATCCAAGAATGGCTATGGTGATTGATGATAGGCTGAAAGTTTGGGATGATAAAGATCAACCTAGGGTTCATGTGGTCCCTGCTTTCACTCCATATTATGCTCCACAGGCAGAGGTATTTGTAATTTCTAAAACTGCAAAATCTTGATTTCATCATTACTATTTGATTTGGGATATTAATTTTAATAATCTTTTTTTTTTTTTTTTGATAGACAGCAAATGCTGTTCCTGTTCTTTGTGTTGCAAGAAATGTTGCATGCAATGTTAGAGGTGGTTTCTTTAAGTAAGATTGCTATTCAAAATTGTTAATCCCAAAAATCTGTTTTTTATACAGTTTTATTATTAATTATTAATATTAATAATTTGTGTTTGTCAGAGAATTTGATGAGAATCTACTAAGGAGGCTTTCAGATCACTTCTATGAAGATGAAGTTTTAAATCTGCCACCTGTCCCAGATGTTTGTAACTATCTAATGTCAGAGGTAAGTAACTAAACTAAGATCCCTAATTCTTTATCGGTTTTATTATCTTGAATAAATCTTTTTTTATATTTGAAAAATTGGTTTCAGGATGCTAGTTTTGTACCAAATGGCAATATAAATCCCCTAATGACAGAAGGAATCAATGGCCCGGAAGTTGCTCATAAACTTAACCAACAGGATGCAAGAAATGTTGCCACGTCAGCATCAAATGTTGCCACGTCAGCATCAAATCTTGGTACTGGTGTGGAGTTAAAATCTGAAAAGCCACAACAGTCTGTTCCAGTTACAACCATCTATGGCCCACCATCTTTCAAATCAATGATACCTTCAGAAAGTATGCACTCATAAAAAATCTCTAGCTTCTATTCTTTTATAAAATTATTTACAAACATTTATATAATTAATAATTATATTTTCAGAACCTAGCTTACTGGGCCCCATCCAAGGACCTCGACCTGGTCATATTCCTATCTTTCATGGCACATCAAGTTCCTTTTCTCCAGGGTTTCAAGTTCCACCACTTGTATATGAACCAAAGAATGAAGAGGTATTCACTAATATTTTCATATGTCAATTATTTATTTCCATTAACTTAATCTAATTTCTTTTTTCTTGCTATTTTCAGGTATTCCATGGTTATGGATTGCAAAAGAGGAATTTGCCACAAGTGGGTTTACTTTCAGGTATTTGGAGTTGTTTCTATTGTGATATTGTTAATTATTATATGTATAAAAATATTGTTATACTAATTTTTTTTTTGCACATGTGCTTTTCATTTGTGAAAGATACAGGCTTACTACAGAATCAAACATCCTATAATAGCAAAAAAAATCTCCCTGATGGTGGAAATTCAAACTTTTTACCACCTTCTTTATCCATTGGAGTGCTGCAGGAAATTGGACAGAGATGTGGTTTTAAGGTATGCTAATCTTTTTTTATTTTTTATTTTTTAATTCTTTTATATGGTTGTTCATTGATATGACCTGTTTATGTTGATTTATAGGTTGAATACAGATCCATTTTAAGCTCTAGCAAGGATTGGCAGTTTTCATATGAGGTGAGTTACACCATTGCAACCTTGTACCTTCCCACACAGTAACACTAAATTCAAGGATTATAAATTTTAAGGTCGAATATTTGTATATTATATATTATATAATATGTGTGAATTATGAATTATGTAGGTGTTGTTGACAGGGGAGAAAGTGGGTGTTGGAATGGGTAAGACCAGAAAAGATGCACAACAACAAGCTGCCGAAAATGCCCTTCGTAGTTTGGCTGGTGAGAATTTATTATTTTCCTAATCTTAAAAAAAAATGTTTTTTAATTTTTTTTTTTGAGATGAAAAGTTATGAAAGCTGTGTTGATGGTATTACAGATAAATATGTAGCGTACCTCATGTCACAATCGGAAACAGGAAACAAAGATTCCGATGACTCTGGAATGGAAAATGGATTCCTGTTTGAAACAACAGACTTTCCGGAATCAGATGAATCACTTGTCAAAGATGGATTGCCTATCGATGAGGTGGGAATCTATATGTTTGTTTCTTTTTGACTTAATCTTAATCAGAAATGTAAGGATAAAATGGTCATTTCACAGGTTTCTGAAATGAGGCGGTCCTCCAATTTCACAGGCCAGCAACTCCAGAAGCCAGCCAACTCATCAAGGTAAGTGTTTAAAAAATTGAACAGATTTAACTTTGATTTTTCCCTCCAAAAATCACACTGATTTCATCGTTTCATGTGCAAATGTTAATAATAGGTTAACAGAATCCACAAGTAAAAATTCAAAAGAAGAATTACCTCAAAATTCTCTAGATTCATCATCCTCACGAAACCAACAGCAGCAAAAGAAATGGAATAGAGTTGTGTGAATTGTGAAACAAAAAAATATATGAATATGGAATTATGGAAGGAAAACCAGAAATGACTTTTTTGACCCCATGATTTTGAGGGTCCCACAATGTAGAAAACAAACCAAGACCATGATGTTGGTATGTGGGACCCGAAAAGCCGTGTCAACAAATTGTAAAGGCGATTATGAATTATGATGATGATGATGATGATGATGATGATGAGGTTTTAGGGTTTGTTTTGTCCCATGATCTCGATAGCAAACTTGTAAGTATTATGGCATGGTCAGTTTTGATTCATCCCTTTGTTACTAGGGGAAAAGAAAAAAGGTAACATTTGGGCTTTTGGATTTGTAAATTACTTCTTGTTTGTGTATTTAGTATTTTAGGGTAGACAAGAATCTTGGATCTTCACATTATAACTAAAACAAGTGGCATTATCTTTTTCTTTTTTTCTATTAACTAAAACAAGTGGCAATTTAAGACATTCCATTGACATTCCCCAAATAAATTTGTACCTCTATTGGTTGACCATGGGTATGATTATAAAAGATTTGTTAATCCTTTCTTGTAGAAGATTAATAAGATAATCCCACAGTTGTACACTAGAAGTTAGATTAATGATAATTAACAAACCAATCATACATAAATATTAGAAGTGCTCTACATGTTTGAGAATAAAGTTTAAGATCGAAGTAGAAGACGACTCTAATCCAAAACACCAATGAAGTAAAACGCATGGTTGAAATTTTAAAAGCTCTAAATAAGAAATTGTTTATATGAAATGTTTAGACTTATTATGGTTTGGTATTGATAATGAGCTTGTGTTTAGACAGTAAGATTTCACAAGCATTTATTGATTTAAATAAAAATCTTTATTTTTATTTATTGGCTTATTTAATCGGTTTGTGATAAGTTGTTTTCTAATTACATGTATATGATTTAAATAAAAATCTTTATTTTTATTTATTGGCTTATTTAATCGGTTTGTGATAAGTTGTTTTCTAATTACATGTATAAGCACAAACTACCAAATGCTAATAAAATAAATTATCTACTTATTATGTTATTATGTTTTGATATCGGATAAACAATAAAAACATTTTTTTAGAAAACTTTGATATCGAATAAACTAATAAGTATGTTTACTAAAAAAACATAAGTAGACACCCCTAAAGTAGAATAGGGTAAATGCTATCTTGGTAGTGGAGCCATGTTTCTTACTTATGTGTATTTGTGTAATTGATTTATATTGTTCTTGATCCTGTTTGAACATCCACGTGGTTAATTGTTTTAAGTTGACAAATGCAATTCAGTTTAGTTTCCGGTATTCAGTTGTTGTGTTGGTTACCCTGATTTGTTATCGGGACCATCAACATTTTGTAAAAATCCCAACAAGCAGTATTAAAGCTTTGGATTTTTTTTGAACGACAGATCACCCGAAGTTGAAGCCGGTAGGATTCAAACCGGAGACATGCTCCATTTTGGAGTGTTTAATCTCAAGTGATTATCACTAAACTAGCTTGATGTTATGCTTTGGAATGTGTTTGATCAACAATGTATTCGATTAAAAAGTCAATTCAATCGGTAATTCTTCCATTCAATCTTGTTATGTTAAAGGTTCTTTATCATGCTTCATGTACATTGTTCTTGATATAAAAGCAGAATAAAGTCGGAGGATTTTAGCAAAGAGTAATGGAAGTTAAACAAAATCTTGCAAAGGAATTGTGTCCACTGGGTTGTTACGATTTAATAAAGTTTCACTAAGATATTTCAAGAGTTGAATAACATGAAATGGAAGGATGGGCACTTACAACTTTTCAACTCACAATAGACGAGCACACTATCTCATAAATTAGCATAAAGACGATTGCAAGATGTATATGGACCAAAATTGAAGACGTATAGTGGAACGCCCGCGTTTTTCACTAGACGATATTTGTAGTAGTCGTGATTACAAACCCGTGAATATAAAGAACGTCAAAAGCTGATGTCGTACGAAGAAATTATGATTTTTCAAAGTTTCGCGTTCGACATAGTATATCAGTATGTGTCATAAAATATGAAACGAAGATAGATTACTTTTTAGTGAAAGTAATGTAAATAAGAGTCGATTTTCTCGTAAATACGAATCCGTAGATATAAAGAACGTCGAAAACGGAGCTTGTATGAAGAAGTTATGAATTTTGCGAAGTCTTTTACAATGTAATCTTTACAAACTATAAAGTGAAAATAGAATACGAATTAATTGTTGAAATCTACATGAAAGTTGTAGTACTCGGAAATATGAATTCGTGGATATAAAGAACGTCGAAAACGGATGTCGTATGCGAAAGTTACGATTTTTCGAAGATTGCAAGAAAATACCTGTGAAGGAGCGACGTGGCTCCACCCGGGAGGCGCCACATGGCGGAGCCAAAAACCCCCTCCCTTACCAGAATCAACGACACGCGACACCATTAGGAATGAGACACACCACCACGACGTGACGCGCCTATCGAGAAAAACCATAAATAGCCTCATTTGTTACATCTTTTTCACCCCATTTCCTCTCAACTTTTTCCCACACCCTTAGACCCGACTTTCTGAGTTTCAAGCATCTTAGAGAAGCATTGCAACGATGGAAGGCCCGACAAAAAAAAAGTATTCCCGCGACTTTTTGAACTTTTGCTAGGAAACCCTGTAAGGTAAGTTGCACTTACTATGCTTTTAAGTGTAACTTATATTTATGTTCATTGTCATTATTATGAACCTATATATAATATTTATAAGTTATTCTAGTTATAATACTGATTGATCTCCTTAATGGAGTGATGTCTAGGCAATATCTTAGTGAGGTGTTTTAAGTGAGTTTTCCAAACAGTATGTTCATATACAAAACGGATCCTACCTCTAATATGCAACGTCACAAATTTCAAACCAAAATTTTCATTTAAAAATAAAAGCACTTGTTCCAATTACAACTTCAAAGATCTAAATAAAACCATTTGATTCAAAACATTTATCAGAGTATCGACATAAGTTATTAAGTGCGGAAATCTCCAATGGATGCGATGGAATCGAGCCATGCCCTTCCTTTAATATAAGAAAACCTGCAACATTTAAACATAAAAACATAAGCACAAAACTTAGTGAGTTCCCCAAGATACCCCATACCATACTTATCAGTAAGAACGTGTGAATGCTATGGTCCTCCCACAGTCGTACAATCACCCGTCGTTGCAGTCCTCCTACAGTCTTAGTTGCCATGGTCTTCCCATAGTCTTCCGTACGGTTGCCATGGTCCTCCCATGGTTTTTTCATACAAGTACCATGGCCCTCTCAAAGTCTTTCATACAAATGTCATGGCCCTCCCATGGTCTTTCATGCAATGGATGCGATGGAATCGAGCCGCCCCCTTCTTTTAATATAAGAAAACCTGCAACATTTAATCATAAAACCATAATCACAAAGCTTAGTGAGTTCCCCAAGATACCACATACCATACTTATCGGTAAAGAACGTGTGAATGCTATGGTCCTCCCACAGTCTTACAATCACCCTTCACTACAGTCCTCTTGTAGTCTTAGTTGCTATGGTCCTCCAATAGCCTTCTGTACAGTTGCCATAGTCCTCCTATGGTCTTTTCATACAAGTGTCATGGTCCTCACATGGTCTTTCATACAAATGCCATGGTCCTCCCATGGTCTTTCATGCAATGGATGCGATGGAATCGAGCTACGCCCTTCCTTTCATACAAGAAAACCTACAACATTTAAACATAAAATCGTAATCACAAAGCTTAGTGAGTTCCCCACGATACCACATACCATACTTATCTGTAACGCCCGTGTTTTCTGGCTAAGCATTATTATAATGATGTAATAGTTAGGGTCAACAATTATAACATATTTTGAAGTAATAAAGAAGAATTATTTGAGTATTATGTGATTTATTTGATTTTATGTGTATTATACTTGCTTATAACGACATAATAAAATAATAATAAAATATGCGTCAAAAATAGAATGAATATTTGACCCAATATCTTCAAATAAAGTTGAAGTAGTCATGATAAGGATTTCGGAGATATAAGGAACGCTGAAATCCGACTTATAACGAAGAAGTTATGAACCGTCGAAGTTTCGCGACTAAACCGACACGACTTTGTGTGTCGTAAAAAGTGAAATTTTGATAAACTACTTTTTAGCCTTAGAGATCTAAACGAAAGTCGTAGTAGACGTTAAACCGAGAGCGTGCATATAGAGAACACCCAAATCTGACTTCGTTAGAGGAATTTATGATTTTTCTAAGATTTGGCATAGCAGTATGCAGCTCGGAAATTAAATTTTAGATCGATCGATTATTAGGCGACACAACCTAAACGATAATTGAAGATCTCGTTAATAGTAGTTCAACGATATAAAGACAGTCGAAAACGAACGTCGGATGACAAAGTTATGAATTTTTAATGGACTTTATCTGTCTAAGACTGTTAAAATAAAACTTTAAAAATAAAGTCAAAATTAGCCGACGGAGTCTAAACGAAAGTTGTAGTACACATCGTTACCTACGCGTGGATATAAAGAACGTCAAAAACGGAGCTCGTATACGAAAGTTACGAATTTTAGAAGATAATTAATTTTTCTATTTAATCCGAAGGTGACACGTGGCACAATCTCAACCACTACTTCCTCTCCACGGCTTCGCACTGGATTGCGACACCTAGCGCCTGTACGCCCCATGTAGGGCTTGGTACACCAGCATACCGAGTACGCCCAACGTACGTCGGAATTACCCCCCGCATAACCCATTTTTCCAGCTTATAAATAGAGGCGCAAATCATCTCATTTCTCACACCATTCTTATCCCACTCTCTCTCAAACACCCCCATAGCCCATTTTCCTTCGCTAACACCTCTTAGGTGTTGGAAGCGAGTCTCGGAGCACCAGAAGGCCCCGCGAAGAAGAGCTTTTGGCTCAGAAGTTCTGCCCGCGCAGAGCCCGGTTCCTCGCTAAACCCCCCTGTAAGTGAGTTATGCT